GCTAACTTTACATGAAAGGCATTTTTGGAAAAGTGGGATAATTAGACACAGTGAAATATACTGTAATTAAAATACACTAAATCAGGCAGAGGCGTCTGAAATATTGAGAAATATGTGGATGTTTCGTCACAACAGCATACTTCTTCTAAAATGGACGGCATCTCGGTGAATGAACTGACTTTTATCGGCTTTACATCGGATCAAAGGGGATCCAAATAAAATTGTTTTAAAATGGCTGCTTAGTTTAATTGCAGGCAGGTATATGGGGCTATGCAGACCTGCTGGGAAGATTATAGGGATCAAGCCAAAGATATGTGTATGTAATGGCAATTCTGCCTAAAGAGAGTTGCTAAGGCGAGAGGTGTACCAGAAAGGTCGTGAGTCCTTGAACTATATCGTTTTATAAGCAGAGAGGGGCTGAGGGTGGAAGGCAATTCGATAGATGGAGGTAGGATTTTGGCTTGAGCTGAAGAAAGGAGGTAGAATGTACTTATATGGGTTGGTATAACATGAAAGTGGGCTGGTATGAGGGATAAGGTGGGGTGGGATAACTGATTCCTACACATCAAATCGATAAAGTGTGTAAAGTGGATACTCGTGCACTTTTAGAAGGGTATAGGTGACTTGCATGAGACCATCTCGAAGCATCCTATTGCGAACTTCAGGACGAGCCAGTTTAGATAAACGTTCCTTGTCATAGACACGGTCGTCTGAATGTTCCAGGCTATAAAAGCGTCCTATAGTGTTAGACACCTGATTCCTGGTCACGTTGGCTAACCCGTGGCGTAACGCAAAATCGTCATCTTCACCACCCCAGCCAGTGAATGCATTCGACATTCCGTTGATCAACAGATAATTCCACCGGTTAATCATCGTTACGCCCCCCATGAAGGCATTGTAGAAACTTGATATGGAAGAAAGAATAGGAAGTGAATGAGGTAGAAGAGTTGAATTCGAGTCAATCTATGCAATCATTTATATCATAAGAGTATGAGTTTTGAGAGGCTAGATTAAATTGAGCTCATGGGAGTGGTCAAACCCGGATATGATTCCTTCAGTAGTAGAATTTTCCCACAATGATATGAGTTGAGCTGACGTTTCCATTGAATTTCACATAGCCTTGCTTTTCTTCGAAACTACCAGTAAATCAGTAATATGAGATGTATTCACCCTATTTCGTTTAAGGTGATGAAGGACTGGCCTGAGTCAAGAAAACTCCTTTATGTTATGAGATGTATTCCCCCTATTTCGTCTAAGGTGATGAAGGACTGGTTAGAGGCTACCAGTAAATCAGTGTAATGAGATGTATTCACCCTATTTCGTGTAAGGTGATGAAGGACTGGTATTATTTCCATTGAATTTCACATAATGAGATGTATTCACCCTATTTCGTCTAAGGTGATGAAGGACTGGTAGTCGAAACTACCAGTAAATCAGTGTAATGAGATGTATTCACCCTATTTCGTGTAAGGTGATGAAGGACTGGTAGTATGAATTTTCCCACAATGATATGAGTTGAGCTGACGTTTCCATTGAATTTCACATAGCCTTGCTTTCCCAAATGTTGTTAGCATCCATGATATGAGTTGAGCTGACGTTTCCATTGAATTTCACATAGCCTTGCTTTCTCAAAAGTTGTTCTCATCCCGGCTGGAATTGACTGCAATTTCGACCTCGTATCGGTCTTATCAACACCCTCAGCGGGAGTCGAACTACGGCAGTGCAGTAACGTAGTCGATTGCTATAGC